GATGTTTTTGGGTATGTCTATCAGGTTGTCAGCATGGGGCTTTGGAGTCGCCCATGGATCATACTCTGGGGACGAAGCTGGAGACCTCACTGGAATCTCCTTTGAGGAATCTGGCTCCAACTTGATGGATTCCTTGGCTTTGGGCATAGCTGGGCCCTCTGGCAAACTGGCCTTGTTGGACTCGCTGACTCGCTGGAATCACTGGTGGTTGCCTCTGGGTCCACTGTCTCTGCCATGGCTGCTGGTTTCTGTTGCCTCTTTGGGCTTCAGTTGGTGTACATATGAATATGTATATATGAAAGCAGCTAATTGAATATAAATATGGAGATATTGCATGGTATACTATATTGGTTTTGAGACTATCTTCCATGTAATGATAACATTGCACAGGTTGTGCCATGGTGTTTGATTCATCGATGGCTACTATAGTATATATAAATATAATTATATATTTAAATGACATGGCAAATTACTATACACATACCATAAAGGCCACCAAGGCTTTTTGATTTAACATCATGAAGGCCATTTAGGTTTTTGATACAATGCCATAAAGGCTATTTTGTATTTGGGCTTAATATATTGAATGCCAACATGTTTTTTGAGCAAAAAAGTAAATTCCAAAGACAATTAGAAAACACATATTATCATTGAACATGTTTTTTTAAACAAAACATTATTTATTACATTTTTCATGAATTATTTTCATTTGTTTTTTAAAAATTATACAAACTGAAATCTTTCAGTTCCAGATTCACCATTCTTGACTTCAATTTGGTTTGTGTTTTTTTTAGTTAAAACAAATACTATATTGAATCAATAGCATATTTTTATATAAATTAAAAAAAATATTTATGATTTTATTTCTCAAAAAATGTTTCTTTTTTTTTGATTTTGCCAAGATCAAAATCTAAATCTAAAAATGTGGTTCAAAAAAGTTAGATTCAAATTCTGAACCTAAAATCTTTATTTAACAGAGTTAGATTCAGATTCTGAATCTAAAATTGCAAAAACCAACTTTTAGATTCAGATTCTGAATCTAACTGTCTTAAAGTTGATTTTTAGATTCAGATTCTGAATCTAACTGTCTATAAGTTGATTTTTAGATTCAGATTCTGAATCTAACTCTGGAAGGCAAAAAAAATAGATTCAGAATCTGAATCTAACTTTTTTGAACCACATTTTTAGATTCAGATTTTGATTTACCTTTTTGAAAACAAAATCAAAAAAATCGAACAGAAACATGTTTTTGAGAAATAAATCATAAATATGTTTTTAATACTTTATATAAACATATACTATTGATTCAATATAGTTTTCCTTCTTATTAAAAAAACACAAGCCAAATTGAAGTCAAGAATGATGAACCTGGAACTGAAAGATTTCAGTTTGTATGATTTTTTGAACTTAAGTTTAATTAAAATATATGAGCCGTTTTTACTTTCAATTTCAAAAAAATATGAATTAGTATATGTCTCAAAAGTTCCTGGAGTCTGGAGGGTTTCCAGTTTGGAATTTTAATCTGAGAAGTGTATCTGATGCAACAAAAAATAGAAACACAGATTCACAAGAACTAAAGGTGCCATCTCAGTGTATTTCAACTTAGCTGGGTGCAGGTTGTACTGTGAGTATTAAATCCAACTGAAAGATTTCAGGTTAAACTTGTTCAGATAAAAATTCCAAACTGGAAACCCTCCAGACTCCAGGAACTTTTGAGACATATACTAATTCATATTTTTTTGAAATTGAAAGTAAAAACGGCTCATATATTTTAATTAAACTTAAGTTCAAAAAATCATACAAACTGAAATCTTTCAGTTCCAGGTTCATCATTCTTGACTTTAATTTGGTTTGTGTGTTTTTGGAATAAAAAAGAAAACTATATTGAATCAATAGCATATTTTTATATAAATTATGAAATTTATTTATGATTTTATTTCTCAACAAAGTGTTTCTGTTCGATTTTTTTGATTTTGTTTTCAAAAAGGTAAATCAAAATCTGAATCTAAAAATGAGGTTCAAAAAAGTTAGATTCAGAATCTGAATGCCATACATGGCCAACCTACTCAAAAGCCATGATGACCAACATGAATAAATCATAGTGAAAAAAACTTGAATTTGAGAAAAGAATTTATTTTTTTTTGAAAGTAAGAATCCTTGAAAGAAGTGTATTTGATGCAACAAAAAATAGAAACAAAGATTCACAAGAACTAAAGGTGCCATCTCAGTGTATTTCAACTTAGCTGGATGCAGGTTGTACTGTGAGTATTATATAAATCCAACTGAAAGATTTCAGGTTAAACTTTAAAGGATTTTTACTCAAAAAAAATCCATATTCTTTTCTCAAATTCAAGTTTTTTTTAACTATGATTTATTCATGTTGGTCATCATGGCTTTTGAGTAGGTTGGCCATATATGGCTTATTCATGTTGGGCACAGTGGACTGCAGTGGGGTGGCACACGCTTGGACACCTGAGTATATGGCTGCAACACAACTTGGTATGAAATTGATACAAGGCCTGGCCTTCTGGCCTTCTGGCATCATACCCATGCTGGCCCATGGCAACCACACTTGGTCAACTTTGGCAGTAACTGCAGTGTTGGGCTGGTGGCTGAGGTGGAACCAAAACAAATTCATGGATTGTAGCTTGCTTGGCCCACATGTGCTCAGCTCCAGTGTGTGGACATATGGTGGCTGTGAACTGCCATGGTTGGCCTTTGTTTCATTCTGTAAGCCATTGTTGCCTTTGTTGCACCCTACAAGCCAATGTGGCTTTTGTTGATTAACCACATGTGGTCCTTACATAAACAGTTTCTTTGCCTGAGTCTTGCAATGACAAAACTCTGAATGAAATTCTGGGTGTGAGAAAAGAAACAATATCATCCAGCAGGCATGCCTTTGTTGCCTCTGTTGGGTTCCAGCTGGTCCAACACAATGGTGATCCAGAGCTCTCAAGAAGGTCACAGTGTGGCTGGCACTCAAAGACAAATAGCCTAGGAAGTGCAATGGTCACTGAATCAACAACTGTATTACCAAAACATGGGGAATCAGTATATGCAGTGGGGCTGTCTTTGTGAAAGCTTCAGCATGGTGGCTTCATATGGGTCATTTGTAACAACCAAGGAACGTTCCTGGCCAGTGAGAGGTGCAAGGTGCCCAATGCCTTCCTGGAACAATTGCTCATTCTTGGATATCTGGACCTTTCTTTTGGCTTCATCTTTGGACATCTCTATGGCCATGGAACCCTGCAAAAGGTTGGTCTGGATTCCAACAGCCAGCATGGCCATGCCCTTGCTCCAAGCATCATGGTAGGACACCATGGTCCCACCCCTGTTGTCAGGGTGGCATAGAATCTGTGATGGTCTGAGGGCCACTTTGTGGGCCAACCCATGGGCTTCCAACAGGTCAATGACCTGGTTTACTTTCTGGTTGATGGTCAAGGGGCCATCCATCATGGCTTTCACTTGGGCAGCCACTTTGTCCACCATGGCTGGTTGCAGGAAAGGCTTGGCAACCCCTGTAAAAATTGTTTCTAAAAAGGCATGTGCTAATGGTGCAACTTGGCTGAATGCTGGTCTTTTAGGCCAGGGCAGCAGCAGCCTTCAAAAGCTTCAAAAGCATCATGTGATAGACATAGAAACTGTGGATTGAAAGTGGTTTTTCATCATGGGTTTTGATGACCATTACTGCTAATGATCATGGCCATAGAAAGGCTTTTTGTAATGATAGGCATTGTGACTATATAGGCCAAACAGTGGCTTTTGCAATTGTTTGCTGCAACTTGCATTTTTTTGGTCATCCCTGCTATGGTCACCTGTGGCTTCAGTCTTTCTTTGTGCCTTTGTAACCCCTGGTGGGTTCCTGCAATGCAGCTTGGCAGCCGGCTCCCAAATGGCCAATGACTTGCCTCAATGGCTCTGGCTCCATGGCAACATACAAATCCCACTTGGAAGGCCTTTGGCCACCAGGCAAGCATGGAATCTCAGTGGAACCCAACTGGATGGTTACCACAAAGTTGCCAAGTTCTTCCATGGTATGGGCTTTTCTTTTCTTGGTGCTTGGCTTCTGTTCACCAAACGATTCTTGGCCTTCTTGGGGATCTTGTGGTGCTGCTAAATATTCTTGGATCTTCTCATTCTTGGCTTGGATCAAAGCTTGCAATTCCTTGCTCTTGGACAGACTGGGGTTCTTGGGCAGCTTGCCACCACATACCAATTGGCAAATGGAGTAGTTAGTGGCTCTGAACTTCAAGAATTTTTGGCCTTGGCGCTCTTCAACCAGGTTTGCAGCAATGGTCGCTGGTTTGTCCTCTTGGTACTTGATTTGGCAGCGGAAGGTGATGTCCACCATGGCTGGCTGCAACTTGCTGGTTCCCTTGGGTTGGCAAATCCTCATTCAAAAAAATATTGGGCCAATGCATGCCCACAGAAACATGTGGCAAAAGATGTGGCCAAAACATGGCTTTTGTGGGTTGTCACATGTCATGGAGATTGTGGCCAAAACAAGCATTTTTGCTTTGACAAGCTTTTGCATGTTCATCCAAAAGGAGAAATCATTTTTGACAATTTGCAAAACAAAGATATTTCTGGGGAAACAAATTCTCAATTCATGAGGGAAAAAAACAAGTTTTTTTAATGGTGTTTTTTTCTTTTGGTATGCAAATATATGGTGAATGCAAATATGATGGAAGCAAATAAACATTCTTGGTAATTGAGAATGATTCAAATCAAGTTCTAAACAGATCTGGAAAATTATACAGAGTTAACTTGAGTTAAGTTAGTTACATAATTTCATCAAAAAAATAACAATTTAACTTAACTTATGTTAAAAAATACCACTAGTTGTACATAGTTAAGACCTAGTTGTAAATTGTTAACACATAGTTGTAACTAGTTGATAAATGAACATAAGTGATTCTAATTATGTTAACTCCTTACAAAAAAAACAGGATCTCAAGCAGGTGATCAACAGCCAGGACGCTTGGCCAAGGAAGAGTGCCATGAAGCCGAAACCTCTCCCGGCAAACCCCGAGGTGCTCGTGGTCGACGTCGAAAAAGAAAAGGCCATCACCGACAAGACCGAAGTCGAAAGCCCCGGCGGAAGCGAAGGGCCACCCAGGAGAGAAGTCAATCTGAAGCCAGCGCCCGAGAGAGCCCCAGGAAAAGGAAAGGGGACGCTGAAGAATTGGCGCAACAAAGGAAAAGGAGGAAAAGGAAAGGGGAAGGCGAAGGCCAAATAGGCAGTGGTGTCAGTGAGCTGCATCCGGTGGTGCCCTGGGAAAACTTGGAAGATGATTTGAATGATGAGATGAGGACTTGGATAGAGTCTCATCCCGTGGCAAACCTTTCAGCAGCTCAACTTATTGACCACTTTGTTGGCCAAATTTGGAAGTCTGACTTTTCCTTCAGAGAGTATTTAGGATGGAGCCTGCAACCCACGGAGGTGTCAGACGAGAAGGTTCGAAATCTCTTCCCGCTTCCCCTTTGGTTTGATGATGTTCAAGCTCTGAGAGAGGTTATTAACCGGGGTGAGCACGGTGAGAAGAAAGACAAAAGGAGAGGAGGATCCCTGACAAAGGGACAGGGCCAGAGGTTGGTCAGGCTTGAAGGTCTAAAGGCCTGGCATGGACTGGTCAACTTTCTTTACGGTGACAGAGCAAAAAGATCACGGCCCCCCTCCGGGTTCGCATGCCACTGCTGCTCAAGAAAAGGCGCTTTGTCGCATCTGGGACCAACTGAAGGTCACGGTCTTCTTGGATGACAAAGATGTTCGGGGTGTGCCAAGAACCCCACTGGCGGAGTGGAAACATTCAGTCCAGGAAGTTGGCATCAGCTACACCGGGGAGTTAGTCCAAAAAGCTTGTGCAATCACTTTGGAGCAGATCCTGCCTGGATTGCCCAATGCTGAGCATGGGGGCTTGGTGAACCTGACGGAGTTACTTAGCCCAGAGTTGGCGAAAATGTTGGAGAGCCCTGGGAAGCTGGTCAAAGAGCGGTGTTTGGGACCGCGGCCAAAACCCCGCGTCCGCTGCAGCGATGAAGCATGGCCAGCGGTGGCCAAGGCATTGTGGGACCGTGGGCTGGTGGCACCTTGTGAGTTTATCCCTACAGTGGATGATGTGCCAGCTTTAAACGGTGCGTTTGGGGTGCCCAAGGCAGACGCTTTCCTCCCCTCGGGTGAGGAGATCCTCAGGCTGATAATTGATCTGCGCTGCACCAACTGGATGATGGAGCAGATAGAGGCGGACACAGGGAGCCTCACAGGAGCAGCGACCTCCCAACGGATAGTGGTGGAAGAAGGGAAGGAGCTGCTAATCAGTGGCGAAGATCTGACGTCTGCTTTTTATCTTTTCAGGTTGCCAAAGGTATGGATCAATTATCTCCTTCTGGAAAAACCCGTACGCAAAAGCCTAGTGGGGCTTGACGGCTCTGGGCATTGTTACCTGGGGCTCACTGTGTTGCCCATGGGATGGCATAGCTCAGTGGGGCTCATGCAGGCGGCTCATCGAAGGCTTGCCTTGAGCTCGCCCCTGAACGGGGGAGCCGGGTTGCACCAACTGGCCGAAATCACCCGGTTGTCAGAATTCCCCGAGCAGAATGAGCACGCAGGATGGAGCATGTACCTGGATGACACAACCATCGTCGAACAGGTGGCAGCCCATGGAGTGGAGTCACTGAAGGACAAGCCCCAACCTGAACAAGAGAAGTTGAAGAGGGCTTACGAATGGTGGGGCATTCCCACTAACTCCAAAAAGCAATTGGTGCGTGAAAGCCGCGCGGAGAGATTCGGTGCGGTGTTGGATGGCAAGCAGGGGATCTTGAGAGGAAGCACCAAGCGGTGTTTGGAAGTGATGTCCTTGGGGGCTTATATACGAGAGCATGTGGAGGTGGACCGAAAAGTCTTGCAGATCTACAGTGGAAAGATGGTTCACCTGTTTCAGTTCCGTCGGTGTCTGTTCGCAGGCATGGAAGTCATCTTCACAGCAATCGCCCAGGGTCCCCAGAAATGCCTGGTTACCAAGGAGCTGGTGGATGAAACGCTGATGCTTGAAGGCCTGCTGCCCGTGGCCATGTTCAACTTGAAAGCAGCAGTTGATCCGGTGGTGACCGCCAGTGATGCCAATGGCTGGCATTCAAGAGGCCGAGTCCTTGCTTGAGGGACGGCCTTTGGAGGAGGAGAAAAGAGAGGTGCCAGAAGAGATCAGCGGTGAAGAAAGGGTCCTTGTGATTGACCTTTTTGCTGGCATAGGGGGCCTAGGTGAGGCCCTGAAGAAAGCTGGGGTTCCTTGGAGACATCTGGTGGCAGTTGAAAAAGACGCCAACTGCAGAAGACTGCTACGGAGAGCTCATCCAGGTTGTGAGTTTGTGGTGGACATTAAGAATTTTGACAAAGGAGCTCTGAAAAAGGCGATAGGAAAGGTGCCAAATATCACAGGAATCGTGGTTGGCGGTGGTAGTCCGTGCCAGGGACTGTCAACGCTATCGTCAGAGAGAAAGCACCTGGCCGATGAGCGCAGCGCCCTTTTCTTTGAGGCGGTTCGGGTGCTCGAGATGGTTCAGAAAGAAGCAGCTGAGCAAGGAATCTGGGCAGTCCGGTTTGTGGAAAATGTGGTAGCGGACTATGAGGACATTGAGGAGATGAGTGAGGCCCTCAAGATGGAACCAGTGATGGTGGATGCCCGGCACATGTCGCTGGCCAGGCGGCCCCGTTTGTTTTGGCTGTCGGTGACACTCGCTGACGAGGAGGAAATTGACAGCATTCCAAGAAGAGGGTTCGTCGAAAAGGTCTATCGGTCCAAGGTGTTGGAGGAGCCATCAGATTTTCTGGACGAAGGTTGCTCCTGGCCAGCCTGGGCTGAGAACAACAAGTTGCGGTTTCCAACCATGACTCGGGCAATACGGAGGAAGAAGCCCCCACCGAATCCGGTGGGATTGGAAAAGGCTGATGAAGAGACACGAAGAAGGTGGTTGGGAGACCAGTTTAGGTACCCACCATACACCTACCACAAGGACTTCATGATCCTGGAAGACGGTGCGCTCAGACCATTGCGTGCCAAGGAAAGAGAGGTGCTCATGGGGTTCCCCCCGGGCCACACAGAAAAACTTTTGAAGAAGAAGCCGACCAGTGAGGAGGAGAAGCAAAGCTCAGAGGACCTCCGCTCGGCGGCAATTGGAAATTCGTTTCACACCAATTCAGTTGCAGCGCTGTTTGATCATTGCTTCAGCAGCATGGGCCTGAAGACCAGAAAGGGGCCAACCAAGATAGTTGAAGAGTACCTCGCAAAGCTGAGGGAGAAAATCAAGGAAGAGATCGAGGTAGCAGGTGATGAAGCAGCAGAGGATATAGATGAGGAGGAGGCAGCAGAGACAGAGGGCCTGGAAGATCATGAGACCCAGAGCGTGATTGGTGCGGAGCACTGTGAGTTACTGGAGCGCGAGGCCCAGAACCAGCAGCTGCTGGATGACACAGTGCGCTCTGATGAGCGTCTGAGCCAGGCACTTGTGGCAGCTTACATTCGAAGGCAGGAGTATCGGGGCTCCGATGTCAAGCTCGATCTTGGGTCTTTGTATCGACCGGACTCATTTCCGAGGGGGTCGATCCAGGCAAACCGCTGGAAGTGGCATACTGCCACCGCTTACCGGTTTCGCATCACTGAGCACATCAATTGCTTGGAGCTCAGAGCATTGGTGCAGGGCCTGGAGTGGAGGTGCCGGAAGGCTTGTTTTGGAGATTGTAGGGCCCTCCACCTCACGGACTCTCAGGTTGCCCTAGCGGTGGCGGTAAAAGGAAGATCCAGTTCCCGTGCGCTCAATCGGTTGCTGAAGCGGTATGCGGCCTTGCAGATTGGAAGTGGGGTGTATCCTCTGTTGGCTTGGGTTGAATCTGAGGACAACCCAGCCGACGAACCAAGCAGGAGGTATGCCACCGAAGGCTAGAGTGGTAATCGCTGCAGCCGCCAGCACGCAAGAGCGACAAAGGGAACGAAGAAAGATTGGATCGCTAAAAGGACAAGTCATTGCTGCCAAGACGGAAGAGCGCTATCACACCTGCTATGAAGCATTTTTGAAGTTTCACCGTTTGCATAGAAATTTTTCGGTTCCTGCGGCAGAGGTCTTCGACGAGATGACTGCCGAATTCATTGAAAGTCTGTGGGACCAAGGTGAACCCAAATCACAGGCTAACTACACCCTTGCGGCCATTCAGTTTTTCAAGCCTCAGGTGAAGCATCACTTGCCGTGGAGCTGGAAACTGGTGAAACTCTGGCAATCCCTCGAATTGCCACAGAGGGCAACTCCGTTGTGCCAAAAAACGTTAATGGCCCTATCCGGGCAAGCGTTTCGTTGGAACCAGCAGGCCTTTGGGTGGCTCCTGGTGATTGGCTTCACCCTGTTTCTTCGTACAGGGGAGTTGCTCAGCATCCAAGCAAAGGATGTGATCCTCACACGAAACAGTGGGGTGCTTTATCTTCCCCCATCTAAGACGGGGAAGCGCAACTTCTTACCTTTGGAACGAGTGGAAATCCAGGAACGTGCAACCATCCAGGCGTTCACCGCGCTGCTTCGTAACAAAGCTCCTGGAGACTTTTTGTGGGGGCAATCCCGAGGACAGTTTATGTCACTCTGGCACTCCATCATCCAAAGCCTGAAGTTGGATGGAATGGCCTACTTACAGTCTCAGGCGCGGTGGCGCTACCAGCGCTTACAAGGCTGGATCCTCTTTGGATCAGCTGGTCAGCCGTGGCCGATGGGCTCATGTCCAAACTGCCAGATTGTATTTGGACACTGGCATGCAGGCCCTGGCCAATATTACCATCCCTCCCTCTGCCCAACCCCTTCTCCATCGCGCCACTGCTGCCTTTTTGGCGGCAAACCAGGAAGGGACGCGTGGAAGGGCAGGAGCCCATCAAGCAGGAGGCCTCTTGTGAGGAACCTGCATTTGGGTGAGGAGAGAGCGTTGCCTCTGTGTCAAAGGGCACGGGACAGGCTCCAAGGATGGTAAAAAGACTGAGCGCTGTCCGGTGCGGGTCGGCTAATAAGGCCATTAATGTGGAAGTGTATATATATACATACAGAGAGATGATTGCCATAATCGTTTCTGAACATTTCTGAACGGGGAATTCCATTCTCAACCAACAAATGTTTTGCACGCAGTGGTAAAATTGGCCAACAGAATGTCGGAACTGAAATCACAGTCCTTGGCAGGTGCTGTTCTTTACGGGCAGGTTTATAACAATTGCACGTTTACTCTCCGGTCTATAACTAGGTTATCTATGCTTTATGGTGTATATAGATAGTTAATGGGGGTTATCAACCTATCAACCAACGCGAAATACCGTGGCAGTGGACAAAATAAGCAGTTCGATGATTGTCCCACAAAGAGCTCCATTTTGATTAGGGATTTTCCAGCCAATTGGTAAATCTCTTCCGAAGTCAGAATTGAAGTCAGACCTGAAGTGACTACTTTCCTCACAAATGAGTCAGATCCAAGCAAACATTTGAAAGAGGACAGCAACACAAAAAAGAGACTTCCAGCACGGCGTTTCTCAGATCACTTGCAAGAAGCCTAGAGACCCAACCAATCCTGAGTAGCCTGAGTAGAAATAGTTTCATTGCGCCTATGCCCGCAGCATCAGGGTGTCCAAGGTGTATTCTACTGTACTACAAGTGACTGCATTGTCTTTGCCCAAAACGTTTGATGTCGATGTTTCTTGGGGTGTATTAGGTGTGTTTTGTCAACTCCTGATTTGTTGCAAACAGATCAACAAACTAAGTGGTTTTCTGCGCACGGTATCAGATGTCATCAATGGGAAGACCCAGACCCTCTTAATATATCTTAATGTCATAAAGCCAATGCCACAAATCTCCTCATGAACTTCATGAACCATGACTGGCAGTTATATCAACCCATTTCTAAGGTTTTTTGCTAAGGATGGAAGGGGTGATTTAGCTCATGATTTGCCCTTTTTTCCAGCGGGTAATGGGATTTGATCCCCTCCATTGAGCGCGGATTTCCCACTTTGTTTGAGTACTAGAGCCTGGGTTTCTGTACTGTATTTTTCCCCACCTGCCAGGTGAGGGTTGTTAGATTTTATGTCAGTTGCTTCCTCCTCGTCCTCCTCCTCCTCCTCTCCTCTCTTCTCCTCTCCTCTCCTCGTCTCCTCTCCTCCTGCTCCCTGCCGGACCTCAACCACGACCATCCACGCTCAGTGTGCCCTGCCGGACCTCAACCACGACCATCCCCGCCCAGTGTTCCCTGCCGGACCTCAACCGCGAGTATCCACGCCCAGTGTTCCCTGCCGGACCTCAACCACGACCATCCCCGCCCAGTGTTCCCTGCCGGACCTCAACCACGACCATCCACGCCCAGTGTTCCCTGCCGGACCTCAACCGCGAGTATCCACGCCAAGTGTTCCCTGCCGGACCTCATGTACGAAGATAAAATGTCAGATAGAGTGCCAGAAGATTTGCCAGGTAGAATGCCAGAAAATATGCCAGAAGATATGCCAGATAGATATGCCAGAAGATATTCCAGAAGATATGCCAGATAGAATGCCAGATAGAATGCCAGAAGATGTGTCAGAATATATGCCAGAAGATATGCCAGATAGAATGCCAGAAGATATGTCAGATAGAATGCCAGAAGATATGCCAGATAGAATGCCAGAAGATTTGCCAGATAGGATGCCAGAAGATATGCCAGAAGATATGCCAGATAGAATGCCAAATAGAATGTCAGAAGATATGTCAGATAGAATGCCAGAAGATGTGCCAGTAAGAACATGTATAAATGTCATGGTGGGGATCACACGAAGTAAAGTAATTTGTGATTTTGCCACAGGGAAACCCATTTCTGGAATCTTTAAGGGAATATCACCATTTTTATAGGTGGTATGTTTACCATTCCCGGTCAGACGATTGGTAAAAATGACATTGTTTTACCCACGTTGAAGCCCCTCAAATCCAAGAAAGTTCTATTCTTGTTGACGTCGAACATCCCCAAGGTCTCCTCGACCTTGTTTCGATTCAGACGTGATGAGACTGTCGATTCAGACCCTAGTGACCGAAGATGGGAGAAAATCATGGGATGTTCAAGAGGGATTTGCATGGGATTTAGCCAACCAACATGGACATTTAACCATGTATCATGTCTTGAATATGACCATACATAAGAAGGGGTTTCGTTGCACTTCAGTGCAAAAAAATGGCATAGATAAGCATCTCGAATTGTGACATTTTGAATTTCCCTAAAATCTCCGACTTCTGCTGAGAAACTCAACACACTCATTCGATGTTTGTGATCTCTAGATGTTTGTTTGTGTCAGCTCCTTCAGCTTCAGGTCCTGGCAAAACGCAGAGTCTGACAGATTCTGAGACGTGGTAGATGGGTTTTCCATGAATGGGGGTACCCCAATTGCTGGATGGTTTATTTCATGGACACGCCCATTGCTGAATGATTTTGAAAAGGGTACCCCCATGACAAAACGGAAGCCTCCACATGGTACACAAAGAACGACTCAAAGCCAAAAAGCATTGGCAGAAAAGGATGCAATGGAGTGCAGCTCTGAGCGCAGATCCGATCCCAATTATTGACATGTCAGATTTTCAGCTGTGAAGTGAAGCCCTGCAACTTTATTTGGCTTGTTGTTTATCAAAGTTTTTTGATTCCACGTCTCATTGTTTATAAGGCCAGGATGGTTGCACTAGCAACGACTGAGATGGGGCTGGTTTGAAGACTCGCCAAAAATGGGGCTTATTGGGTTGCTTGATAGCACATCCCCAATTCCCATGGTTGCTATCCATCGTTTTCCCATATTTCCCTATTCAAATAGCCAACAAAAACGGGTTGGAGCGTAGCAAAATCATTCCTTTTCAATCCTTTTCAGATGCAACGTTAGAGGAGCTGATCGATTTGATGGATACCTTTGATAGTCTTGTCGGACCAAACCTGGTACTGCTGACTTTGCAATACACCAAATATCATTTAGTGATAGTGGTCAATGTGGTCATTCAACAGTCCAAGACTAGTGTGCTATGCAAGACAAAGATGCGAAGAACTTGTGTCCCCGAAGACAGGCTGACTATCCAACTCATGCAGATAGGCTTGCTAGGATTTCCATACCTTGCCGCTCTGGAGTTCGTCTCTCCCTTGTTTGAATATTTATGTATGTGTATATATATAATTATATATATTAATAGACAATATAGAATGTAACTAGAATGTATGATATAGATTATAATATAGTATATAGCAAATAATATAATATATATATTATATTAGTGTATGTAAAGTATATTCCACCAACATGGCACAGTCACCACACTCACACACTGACACACACACACACACACATATATATATATATATGTATGTATATCCATGCATGATATTGGCTCGGTTCGACACATCAAGCCCCCAAACCTCGAGAAGTCAATCGGGGGCCCTCGGGAAGTGAAGGCAGCAATGACTCGGGTGCCAAAACAACCCCTTGGAATTCCGCAAATCATATGGTAAACTGAATAATGGGCCTACCATCTGATGGGTTTTACCACCTATTTGTCAAAAATTGTAATTTTCTGGTAATATTTTTGGGATTGTTTAAATTTTAAAAAAATGGGTTACCACATCTAAAATTATCCCCAATTGGGTACTTGTCAGCAGTCATTATCTAATTGTGGATGTTATACATTGATATCAACAATTACTGTATCCGTAATTATCCAATACTTGATATACTTATATTGCGATCATTCTCATTGTCCAACCTAGTTGAGATTGGTTGTACTTGGTTTTGCAACAATTATTAACTTCCTGATAGCTAGTGTGCATAGATTTCGATAAAGTATCCATAAGTTATCCACGAACCAGACATAGATATCTAATTGATATCTATCAATATCCACAAAGTATCCATAAATATCACTATATTATCCATCATGGTAATATATATATATATATAGATATTATGGCCTAGACATCTTAGAATCTAACATCTTCTACAGGATGGCCCCCCCCAGTTATGTTAGTTGGTTTACAATAAACCCCATGAAAACGAGTTCGTTATATCTAACAATAGCGGGTATATATAGCATCATTAGTCACTATTAACCACTATAAACCACTATTAACCACTATAAACCACTATAAACCACTATTAACCACTATAAACCACTATTAACCACTATAAACTACTATTAATCATTACTAACCACTATTAACCACTATAAACCATCGTTTTTTTTCACTACAGCATATCTCAACGATTCCCAACTGAACGCGAGCTTGACTTGGGGCCCCATCCTGTACATCCCAACTCGCCATGGCCCGGAATGAGAAAGGCGGGAAACTCCGAGGGAGCGCTGAATGGCAAAACCTGCAAATTGCAACTGGGATTTATACATCTACATAATATATATTATATGCGTATATATTTGTATAAATATACACGTGCATGTATACATACATATATATATATATACTATACACGTATATATATATATACACACGTATATACACGTATATATACGTATATATACGTATATATACGTATATATACGTATATATACATATATACATATATACATACAGTAGTACTCAGTATATGTAGATCATATGTTCGTTTTGTTTCGAGTATGGTGAACATGACCCCAGTTGTTTGTTGTAGCTGGTGGGATTGCTTCAACATTTCTACACAGAATTCAGTGAATGTGACGACAATTCCATAGAACGCATTGATTTGCATTTATAGTTCGTACAATTTCATTGGATTGTGTAGTGAAGAATTAAACATAAACTGATACTCCCTGCCTTCCTAGCATTGTTTCACATGTTTTATCTCTTCATCAGACTTGAATTTTGTTTTAACATCTCAATGTCCATCTTGGATGAATTCGATATTGGCACTTCCACTTGCCTGCTTGACCTACGCGCTATTTTCCAACCAAGGATTTACTGGCAATGCCCGCTCAGGTGCGAGATATGTATATATGGTGGTTTCCACAAACGGGAGATCCCCAAAATGGATGGTTTATAATGGAGAATCCGATTAAAATGGAAGATATAGGGGTACCCTCATTGCAGGAAACCTCCATATACAAGTATATGTATATATATATATATATATATAATCCGACTACAGTATCTGCACCGACGTTCTGTGCACCTACACTGCCCTATTTGCCAAAAACACAACTTCAATTGGAGCTTTCTGACCTGGTTAGTCGAAGGACTTGCCAATTGTTTTTCACGGCTTCGTGACGAAAAAAAACGCACTTGGCAAGATGATACAGCACAATTTGTTCACGAAATTTCAGATGAAGTTATACTTCATGATGTAAAAAGTATGTTTAATTCTTATATATATATATATATATGTGTGTGTGTGAAAAGAACGTGTGTGTATATATATATATATTATGCAAGTACAATACTTGCTGCAGATTCACCAGTCAGCTCGTTCATTCGCAGTGAAGTGAGGTTCGAGAACAAAAGGCCTGTTGTAGTGTCACGCTTTTGCCTGATCCCTTTTGAGCCATCGTTTGAGTTGCCAGTGCTTCATCTTGAGACGGATTCACCATCAAGGGCACCTCTAGCACTTGCATGGTAGCGGTTAGCCTCTGAAAAGGGGCAGTTGAAAGAGATCCAGGGAGGCCGACACTTGTGAAACCAGTGTTGGAATGACGAGTCTAGAGGGGACCATAGAACGGTCAAAAGATGGAGTACCAAGCTGGAATGGGGAAGCATCCAGCTTTCAGAAGTATGAAGAGGTATGTCTCCAGTGGGAACAGGGCATACCGTGGCACAAGCGGTACTTGTGCGGGCCAAGGTTGATAGGTGAACTCTCCGGGACAGCCCGGAAGTTCATAGTGGGCAAGAGGCCAGACTGGGTGTCATACGATGGGGGTGTGACACACCTACTTGGCCACTTGAGACAGTCCCTTGGCCGGCCCAAGATCAGCGACATGACTGACCACTTGAACAAGTACTTCAAGAACACACGACGCCGACGGCAAGAGTCGATGAACGACTACATCACCAGGAAGACAGAGGCCTACGTCCGAGCCAGACAGGCTCTGGGACGAGTGGAGGACCAGTTTGGTGGCCAGAGACAACAGAGACCACAGCAAGGTTGGTCCAGCCAGGACTGGAGCAGCCGTGCTGGGGATTGGTCCGCGTGGCATGAAACACTGACGGAGGAGGACGAAGGTGAAGAATTCACCTCACCGCGGAACCAGCCTGAGGCCGCCAGAGGGTCAGAACAAGCAGAAGAAGATGAAGATCCTTGGGCGAGGTCTCGGTGGTGGAGCTCGAGCTATGCCTATGAGAACACCTATGACCGGGGCGCTGAGAATGAGGATTGGCTCACTCAGAGTCGGGAATTGCTCCCTGACTTCTTGCAGGGGTGGTACCTGCTACAGGACACGTCCTTAGACGCCAACGAGAAGAACCTGATCCAGACAGCCATTCGTGGCAACTATGGGTTGGTGCGAGTGGCCCAAGAGCTCAGAAGCCAGTGGCCAGAGGAGGAGCTGAAGAAGAGAGATCAGGGGACACGGCAGTCCCGGATGTGGGCAGCCGAAGATGCACTCCTAGGAGAAGAAGAAGCAGATCCGATGGCCTACACCTATGAGGAGTTGGCCCAAGAGGGCATGAACGAAGAAGGCCTCACCGTGATGGGTGAAGCCGTGTCCGAGGCCGAGATGGCCTGGACCGCCATTCAGAATGGGAAGCGAACGCTCCGGGAGGCCAGAGCAAAACAGCATCAAGTCAAGATGTCTCGACAATACTACCGGACCACGACTTGGAAGCCAAGGTCATGGGAGAAAGGTGGCAAAGGAACACACTCAGCCGGAGGCAGCAACGACAGGACAACCTGTCTCCGATGCGGTGGATCGCATCGCACCGGCCAATGCCCAGACAAGCAAGGCCCAAGAAGTGGAGATCAGGCCAACCAGCTGGAGGAGGCACCATTCATCTGCTACAACGAAGCAGACTATGGCGAGGACAAGGTCTACTACCAGGGAAGCAGCTTGAAGAGTACACAAGAGGCCATCAACTGTGGCCTGGGAGTGATCGATGGAGGGGCAACCCGAACTTTGGGATCGGTCCATGCGATTGAGAAGGTCATGGGCATCAATGCAAAGAAGAAGGGACGCACTGGCTTGGCCGAGGTAGACACCCGTGAGACACCTACCTTTGGCTTTGGCAACTCTTCCAGAGGCACTTGTGTGTCGACCGCCCACCTGGAGGTGAGCGCCAACCAGAAGCCAGGCGTGTTGAAAGTTCACGCCCTTGACGAAGGAAGTGGACCAGTTTTGATATCCATTTCGACCTTGAGGTCGCTGGGGGCTATCATAGACTTCGCCAACAATGTGGCAGTCTTCCGCAACTTGGATGACCGCAAGCTGGTGAAGCTGGAGCGCTCGGCTGCCGGACATCAACTTCTACCTCTGACTGAGGACTTGCTTGCCCAGGCTCAGGAGTGCAAACAACGCATTCCCAGCCTGTTAGCCTTTTGCTAGGGACAACACCTCTCTTCTTTGGAGCCTGCCAAAGAAAGAGAGGGCCTAGATCAGCAGCAGGTAGGGGAGGTAGATTCAACTCAAGGGCAACAGTTAGAGAGAAGTTTTGGAGTGAAGGGTCAAGGTGATCAAGGTGTTAATAGGGAAGAGAAATCAGTTTTGCTGACATGCAGCGTGCACACCACATACAGAACACAGTTGGAATGTGAGGAAAAAGCTACAGTTGGTAGCCCACCGTCTCAAGGAGTAGAAAACAGTAGCAGTAGCCGACCGTCCTTTGACACCACTCGTGGCTCCCAAGACCAAGCAGGAGTACCAGAACGCCTTGCGGGATCTGGGAGAAGAACCTCCGGCCAAGTGGGGGCTCACAGAACTGAAGGTCCGACTGCTCGAGTTGGAGCAAGAGTTGGGAGTCAGCAGTCAGAAGCGTCAAGTCACGCCTCTGCAGCAAATGACCCGGGCCCTCAACAAGGCGTCCACCAAGAAGGCGAATCTGCAGCAGTTCTGCGAGGAGCTGGGCATGAGCAATGTGTCCAACAGCACCATCACACAGCTGCAGAAAGGTGCCATGGATCGCATCTACATGCAGAGCAAGGCGGATGCCAGCGACCCGGTGGGCTTCGGGACGCATTCGGCCATGTCATATGGGGAGATTGCCCAGGGCCAAGTGGAGTACTGCCAGTGGGTTGTAGCCACGGCCCAGGAGGGGCAGTGCAGCCATCGGCTGAGCCGCCTGGCCAACTGGCTCGAGCAGAATCCAGACCAGATGGGCAACCCCACGCACAGACAGGGAAACAACTACAAGGCGGAGCCGAAGGTGAAAGCGGCCCCACGAGCCGCCAGCTCCCAAGGGTCAGCTGGTTCGAACGACACGGCTGTGCTTCTGGGAGCCATGACGAAGATCATGACACAGATGGAGAACATGCAGGAAGAGATGGACGAGCTCCGAGGACGGGCCCACAAGAAGTCCAAGGACGAGGAGAGCGAGATGCAGAACTCCTGGTCAGCAGTGAACGGAGAAACGAAGTAGATGGGGGCCAAGAGCCAGGGTTTCAAGTCAGTAGCACAGAAGGCCACTCGCTGGAACAGCAACATGCCCGACAAGAGGGTAAGGTAGGCAAAGTCCTTACCCCAGCGGCTATGAGGCATTTTCATCATATCTCTCAGGACATAGCAGCAAATGCTTTTGAGGGTTTGAAGAGTGACAGTGGTGTTCACTTGGTTGAAATAGCCTGCAGTCCAGAGAGTAGGTTGTCAGCTCAGATTCAGCAAGAGGCCGGGCGCGAAGATGCCGCGGTGCGCTG